TAATAACTTTAAATTTATGGTCTTTAAAATAACCCTAAAGTTTACAAACGCTCAATAACGCTTAATATTTTATAACAGATATTTATTTTTGTATGTTTTGCATTTTTTGTTTTTCAAATTATATATATAAGCATGGGTTTTTTTAAAGTGTAAACCTGCAATTATTTCTATATTGTATCTTAAATTTATTTAAAAAATACAAACCCGTCTAGCCAGGGCCTAAGCGCTAGGCGCTAGCCCGCCACTTGACTAGCGCATAGCATAATGTAGTTCAAACTCACATAGCATAAGGTGAAACAAACGGGGGATTAGTGTAATGCTTTTTTTTTTTTTTTTGAAGAAGAAACGATATTACCTAGGGAGAGGGGTAGGCTTAGCCACATAATAGGCTAACAATAATGTAATTCAAACTCGCTTTTGACGAGAATCAAACCTAACACCTCTCACTCAAAGTCAAAAGGGCATTATTATAACTTAAAATAATTATAATTATAAAAATAACTAAATAAACAAATAAAAACCTCAGTAAAACATTTGATCACTTAAACAAAACAGCTAGGCATCTGTGCATTCTTGTAGGAGGAAAGCGGAGCAATGAACTCGGTAACGGTAAGGAGCACCTAGAACGTGTTGAAGCAGGCGAGTGAGGGGGTGGACTTAATGGCACTGACAGTAGGTCATCGACACGAGCAATCGAGATTCGGGTGAAGGTGATGAACGGGAACCTGGAGTGGGTACTTACGGTTATACAAAGGAAGATGACGTCAAGTGGGATCGAGTGGATGGTAAAGCGGGAGAAAACCTACCACCTTAAGAACTCCGAGAAGCGCATCTTGGCCTGCAAGAATCTTGAACAGAAACTCTGATCTCAAGACCTCGCTTGCAAGCTCAAAGTCGTCCTCCTCAAGAAAATCAGGTGCACATTTCACAATCATAAACAATAAATCGCAAAATTATGGATTATACACAAAACCCATATGTTGTTTTCGATTAAAAGTGATATGTGTAGAATTATCAGAGAGACGGGTCAAAAGGCCCCACTCCAACAACACTGGTATTAGTCTCAACTTGGTAATTATCACTACACAATCCATCAGGTGTGGGCACAAAAAGCTTCGATATTAGTTGGAGTGAGGTTACTGTATTTGAACCGGGGACGCATGAAGACCGTATCTACCCAAGTAATCCACGCCAAAACCCATGTGTTATTAATTTATTATGCTTAATTTGTGCATTTCGAGTAAATTATTGATTTGTGCTAATTGGGTTAAGTGGATTACAATAGCTGGATTAGAGATTTAGGGTTTAGAGGGTTTAGGGTTTACACTTCAATGAGATGATTAAGAATGTGTATGGTGCATAAGGGTTTTGTGCCAGTTGATGAATTATGGAAGATTTCTATTGTGTTTAAGCTTTTCCCAGCCTGTAGCTTGTATTGAAGTTAAACTGTTTGAGGTTATGCCTGGGAAATGTGGCTTTTGCTCGAGTGCTTAGAATATTCTTGTAGGTGTCCTTGGAAAACTACTCTTCAGAATATGAAGCTTTGAAATGGTTAGGATGCCATGTCATCATTTGAAATGTGATTTTATTGGTCCATGTGTAATACTTTTTAGGAAGTTTATATACTTGCCCTTGTGCAGAGCAAAGTATATTGAAAATATTGATCGTATTCTAAATAATAGCAAATGTTGTTGTTTATATGAGTTAAGGTTGCAAGCCCCCTAATATCTTAAAATTAATACAAACTAAGAAAAAAAAAATGGGGGAAGGTCTAGGGTTTTTGCGTGTGAGGCACCGCCGACGTCCTCACAAGGATCTCCACTGTGTTTTCTTTAGGTTTTACAATTTGGGAAGAGATATTTGTTATGGGGATAAAGAGATCTCAGTTAAGTATGGTGTAGATAAGTTCTAGGTTGCCACAATTAAGGTTTCGATAATTAAGAATAGGTTAATCATAAGCTCAAGTAGATGGAGGTGGATTGCTAATTGGAGGATAGCCAAGTGGATGGTGAACCCCAAGGGGTCTCTTGTAGTAGGGTTATTGGATAAGTGTAGTAGCTAATAAGAGGTGTCTAGCTAATCATTATAAGTTTTTAGGGTTCTTTGTCTTGGTTTTTTCGTGGTGCTTTGCAGGCTGGTTTTTTATTGGTCTTTCTACTATGATGGTTGTATGGTTCTTGATTTGCTGGTTTTAGATGTTAAGTGACGTTTCAAGTGTTGTGCTTGTTGTTTTTTGCCTCGATGTCTTGGGGGTGGTGGTTTGCAACTCTCATTATGACTGGAGTTACTTAGGGTGTAGAATTTGGCTAACTTTCGTTTGGGGCTGCTGGACGCGAAGACGTTTGGCATGCCCTAGCCCCTTTTTGAGATCTCTCATTGGCTATAAGCTAGTGCTTTGGGATGTTCTAGACGTTGGTTTATTGCATGCGGCTGCCACTCCCAGTAAATGGTTGAGATTTGATATCATGACTTACGGTGTAGGGTTTTAGATTTTCTATTTATTGTATTTCTTTATTTTATTGGTGTGCTTTGATGGTTGGTTTCCTCCTAAGCGTCTTTATATATTCCAGGTTCGGTGGTGCCTCCTATTCCCATCAAACTTCTTGCCTTCATTTCCCTCACTTACTGGTTCCTTCAAAATGTCTAACCCTCAATTGGCTGCCTCTTCCTCTAGCACTCCTCACAAGCCTAGAATTTACTCTGAAAGCTGTGTCCCTAGTTAGGAGAATCCTTTTCATGTTCCTAAACCTAGACAAGATCCGGTTGTTGTTGAAAGGGCTATGAGCACCTTTACCATGGAGCGTGTTAAGCATATTTTGTCTAGGGTTCTCATGGGGAAGATGTTAGGTCAAAACCTTGACACTCGCTTGATCAAGTGGAAGCTGCGGCTGCTATGGAAAAACGAGGTGAATAGCACCTTCTATTTGGACCATTTCGGTAGGAAGTGGTTTGCTCTTGAATTCATGGATGAGGATGACTTAAAATTTGTCATGAAGAATCGACCATGGTACGTTCATGGACAAATCTTCCACTTGGAACGGTGGACAACAAACTTCAAGGACACGGACGTCATTACCAAGTTGGTTGTCTGGGCTTGACTACCTCGAGTCCCTGTGCTATACAAAGTGGAGAAGATTATCAAGGATATTTTGCAGCCGCTAGGTCTTGTGATTAGAGTGGATGAGGTAACTGAAGGATTATTTTTGGAAGATGACATGTTCATTTAAGCAACATCATTAGCATGCAATTAACAAATTAAAGGCGGAATCATGCTAGCATGCACTTAAAAACAAAACATTACCCATGAATGTTCAAAGCCTAGTAAAATGGTGAACCAATAATCAACTCAAAACAAAGTGAGTTGAAATATATATACCTTTGTAGATTCCTCTTTGTATTTAAACAAAGGCTAATCACCCAAAGAGAGGGCCTTCATTCCTTGCATCTTAGATCTATGGATTTGGATGGATGAAAAAGGTTTCTCCAAAGTTCCCAAAATTGAGAACCTCTAATGATTCATCACCAAGGCATAATGAAGAATAAATGAGTGACCTTGGAGGAGTTTGATTGCTAGATGATCCCTCCAAGGTGGCCGAAATTTTAGAGAGAAAGGAGAGCTTGTGTTCTCATCCTTTCCCCAAAAACAACCCCTTAATGAATTTTAGGCTATAAAGTCCTTTATATAGTCCCTTCAAATATGTGACCTAATGGACCAAAAGCCCTATTCTTCTAAAATGGCCGGCCTATAGGGTTTATTGGGCTTTCAAGCCCTTTGTTTATTCAAGTTGTCATACAACTTGAGTTAATGGGCTTGACATTCAAATCCCATTGGGCCTTGCGGCCCAAAACTAACCCGAGGTCTTTAACGAACTTATTCGTTTGATTAATTAACATATTAATTAATCCTAGCCTTAGATAAATAATTAAACCATTTAATTATTCTTACTCATCTCTGTTGTTTCTTCAAACTCTACCTTACTCGATGAACGATCCATTAGGTTCCTTTTAGTGAGGCAGTGGGCGATTAAAACTCTTTTTAATCGATTGTGAATTGAAACTTACTTTCAATTCTCCCGTTAGTGATAATACACTTTTAGGGCTTCCACAAACCATGGTTGACGCCTAGCAGCATGTCATGGTTACCCAAGCTAATCAGAAGAGGTGGAGAACCTATTCAGTTTTAGGATTACAAATGCAATACGGTCTTTCTCTAATACAATACTCTTGACCACATTGTTTGGTTTGATAGTTTATTCATGTCTACTATCCAATGTGAGTCTTGTGCTTATATGATTACCTTGAATGTGATTTGGAACACATTCCTAAATCTCATTCATACTTTGGCCAAAGATTCTTAATCATATCATAGAGTATTCTCCCTCAAACAGTTTGAAGGTTAGAGATTCCTTGTTGCGCATTCACTTGCCTCCATGGCTAAGTGGCTTAACCCCAACGATGCCGTGGACACCCTCCTGATGGAGTGACTTTGACATAATCAAAGATTAAGGACCTAACCACAAGACAACTGTGATGCCTCAGGTCAAAAGACTAATTTGCATTATCCCAACCATGAGTTCTCATGTGACATGAATATGAGAACTCTTCGTTGATCGTGTTCAGTGAACTCATTCTCTATTGAGCACCTACGTACTTGTCTTGATGTCACACACACCAATGACTCGAGACTAGTCACTCTCCCTGAGAGAAGACATAGCACGTACTGATCTTAACGGACTGTCAATGCCCAATTGACAATCCTATGATCAGGAACGTTTAGGATGTGTCAACGAAAGAATGGTCTCATGAATCTAACTTCTTTAGATCGCATTCTTCCAATCACATATTCCTTGGACTTATCGTTTAAGCATATAACATTTATATGAGACGGCTCAAACAATAATCTTTGCCCTTTACATTTAAACTACATTAGTTTAACTTTGTGAAATGTCCGTAAAGTATCATCATATGATTGGTTTTAGGGCACATTTCCAACAGTAACTTCGGGTTTAAGCGGCGTATTTGTTAAAGTTCTTTTAAAAGTTGACGTACGCTTCCCCCTGAAACATATCTGCATTGTTAACCATGAGGATGATTACCCAATCCTTATCAGTTATGAAATGATTTTTGAAGTTTGTTTTTACTGCTAAAGAATAGGGCTTGAGGGGCATGTGTGCCCTGAAATTGAAGCGCATGATGGTTGTTTCATGATTAACAAGGTTTTTGATAATGAATTGTCTATCTATCCGGAGGACGTGGCTGTTGATGATGATGTTAAGGCGAGTTTGCAAAAGGATGTGATGCTCTGTTTTCCAAATCCAACAATTGTCGAGGAGGAGTGCACGAAAGTTGAGGAATCTGGGCAACATGTTGATGATGTGGGGCCTGATGAGGAGGGTTGGACTACGGTTGTTCCAAGAGAGAGGAAAATGAGTTATAATTCTAGGGATGACAAGTCATATAGAGAAGTGGTTGCTAGCCCTAAGCCAAAGTGGGTAGCAAAGGCTGATATTGTGCAGGACTGGAGAAGGGCTGGGAAATCAAAGTAGAGAAAGAAGCAGATAAGTGGGAATGAAGAGGATTATCGGGACAATGCAAATCATTATTCTCAACCGACTACCGATTTTATAACTGATTGAAATCTGTCTAAGTTAAAAATGTTTGATGATTTGGTTGAGCTTTTGTTTCCATTTGAGTCTTACTACAATGATGATCTTAGGCTAGGCAAGGTAAATTTCTTTGATGCTATGTGTGTTTTGTTAAAAAATCAAGATGTGATGATGTCAAATGTAGGAGGTGGTGAGTCCGAAGCTAGGGAGAACTCGGGAAGCTTTGTTGCGGCCATGCTTGTGGCTGAGGTGGCTTTCGTAAGTGCTAGGCCAACCGAGGGAATGATGAGTCCAAGAAAACGTGTCTGCGAGGAGGAAGCTATTGAGGCTGGTCCGTCCGCTTATCTTGAGGAAATTGATTGATGAATGGTATTGTTTGGAATTGTAGGGGTTAGGGAAGACCTGATTTTACTAGTAATTTTACCTTTCTTAATAGCTTGGTTAAGCTAGACTTCTTTTGTTTTGTAGAAACTAAGTTTGATATGGATAAAGCCCCCGTTAGTTGTTTTAGAAGGTTGTTTTATCAATCTTTTGGTTTTAACCCTGAGGGGTGATAGGGATTATAATGAAAGGCTAGGATGTTGACACTTGTATGGAGATTAGAGAGTTAGTTAAGTTGTTAGTTTGTTAAGAAGGCTGAGATGTATAAATACAGAAAGATGTACTAGCTTGGAGGTTAAGAAAATATACTGAAGATTACAGTTTCTATACTTCTCTCTCTCTAAATTCTCTCGACTTTCTCTCTCTATATTTCTGTCTATATTAGTTTACATGGTATCAATCGCCATGAAAGCTCACGCTTGATCTTCGATCCAAGTCTTCCGCAGCTCTGATTCTTCGTCTTCATCTCTCTTTCTGCTTCTTGCTGGTTATTTCTGGTTGAATTCTTTGTGTTTACTCTGCAATCTAGGGTTTATCTTCATCCCTAGGGTTCTGCAACTGTACTACTGGTTGCGATTCGTCTTCTTCAATTCGTGCACTCCAAGTGTTTGGTGTTTGGTCTCAACAACATTTCTGCCAAATTCAGCAGTCTTCGACCTGCACGAGTGTAAAAATGGTAACTGCCTCTCAATTACAGCTTCTTCAATCTCCGATAACTGCATTGGTGTCATCGATTTCCACATCTGTGAGTGTTAAACTGGATGATTCGAATTATCTGAATTGGCATTTTCAAATGAAATTACTACTTGAAAGTAATGGAATTCTAGGGTTTGTTGATGGATCTCATCCCTGTCCTGCTCGATTTAGCGCAATATCTGGCGATTCTGTTGATAATTTGTTGTCTTCCACTGATAGTGATGAGTATTTGGTTTGGATGATGCATGATAAAGCCTTGATGCAATTACTTACTGCATCCTTGAGTCCTGTAGCCATGTCTTGTGCGATTGGGAGTACCAGTTCTCGAGAGCTCTGGATTCGATTACAAGAGCAGTTTTCCACTGTCTCGAAGACTAGCATTTTTCAGATGAAATCGAATCTACAAACAATTAAGAAGGGTTCTGATTCCATTACTCAGTATTTGCAGAAGATAAAGGAAGCCAGAGATTATCTTTCTGCTGTTAGGGTTAATTTTCTGGATGAGGACATTGCTATACTTGCACTCAATGGTTTACCCGCAGAGTACAATACTTTTCGGACTGTGATAAGGGGACGTGAGAGTGTCATTTCTCTGAAGGAATTTCGGACACAATTACTGGCTGAAGAAGCTATTCTCGAGTCCACTATCAATGCACCATTTATGACAGCCATGGTTGCCAATACTCCACCTCCGAGAGGATCCTCTCACCCAAACTATGTACCTGGTGGTTTCAAGCCGTTCCCTGTTAATAAGAACAAGGGCAAGGGCAGGTTCAATCACTACACCAGGACTTTTTCACCTCGCCAATATATGCCTACTCAGACACATGTCATTCAAACTCCAAGTCCTGGTATTCTTGGTCAATTTCCCAATACACAGCAGCCTATTCTTTCTGCTCCACCTGAGAAGTCAAGGTGTCAAATTTGTGGCCGATTCAATCACACTACATGGTTCTGTTTTTATAATGAGAAGGGTCCCAACTATATTGGTGCTGCTGCTCATCCTGCCTATTCCCCGATGGCGTCCTCTTCACAGCAAGGGTATCAGTACTCTCCAGTTGCTGCCTATCCGTCACAAAGGCCTCACTCACAGGCTCCCCTGCATGCTTATCATACTATGGTATCACAATCAACTCCTTCACCTGCTTCTACCTCTAATTCCCAAATGTGGATCACTGATTCTGGCGCCACGAATCATATGACTGCTGATCTCTCCAACTTATCACTGGCATCTCCTTATCCTACTAATGAAGTCATCCAAACTGCAAATGGTGAAGGTTTGCATGTATCTCACATTGGTAGCACTGTTCTTAACCCTTCTGCTTATCCTATCCACTTGAAATCTGTGTTATATGTTCCCAAATTAACACAGAATCTTCTTTCGGTCCATAGGATATGTTTGGACAATAACTGTTGGCTTATTTTCGATGCCTTCTGTTTTTGGATTCAGGACAAGGCCACAGGGAGGATTCTATACAAAGGGCTGTGCAGTAATGGACTCTATCCCATTTCTTCCCCTGCCACTGTCTGTCCTGCAACTTCTCACAGTTCTGTCCCATCTAAAGCTTTCATTGGTCAGCTTGTTAACTCTAATGTCTGGCACAATCGATTAGGACATCCATCCAATTCTGTTGTATCTCTCATGTTGCATAAGTCTAATATTGTTTTTCCCAAAGACTCTAGTCCTGTCATGTGTCAAAGTTGTTTAGAGGGAAAATTTTGCAAACTACCTTTTTCTTCCAGTGTCAATAAATCTGTAATTCCATTTGAAGTGGTGCATAGTGATCTTTGGGGTCCTGCACCTTGTAAATCTGTGGATGGGTATCGGTATTATGTTGTATTCATTGATGAATGTACCAGGTATTCCTGGATTTTCCCATTGGTTAATAAATCTGATCTTTGTGCCATTTTTGTTGGGTTTCATGCTTATGTTCTCACCCAATTTTCTGCAAGTATCAAAGTTTTGCAAAGTGATGGGGGTGGTGAATACATTAGCAAATCTCTTCAATCCTTTCTTTTACAAAAAGGCATTTCCCATCAGAAATCATGCCCTTACACCCCTGAACAAAATGGCATGGCTGAACGCAAGCATAGACATCTCATTGAAACCACAGTCACCCTGTTACAAACAGCCAAAATACCCTCCCAGTTTTGGTCTTTTGCATGTCAAACAGCTCTCTATCTTATTAATAGGATGCCTACTCCCATATTGTCTAACAAGTCTCCCTTTGAAGTCCTATATGGTGCTGTCCCAGTCCTTACTCACTTGAGAATTTTTGGGTGTGCTTGTTATCCTTTATTACGCCCCTATAACTCCACTAAACTTCAAGCCAAGACTACCAAGTGTGTCTTCTTGGGTTATGCTTCCAAATACAAAGGGTACATTTGTTATCTTGTGTCTCAACATAAATTCTTTGTGTCTAGACATGTGATGTTTAATGAGTATGAATTTCCTTATACAACTCTTTTGGCACAAACACAAACCCAATCCTCTGCCTCATTTGATGGTCTTTTGTCATCTCATGTGGTCACATCTCAGAATATAGTCACATCTCCTTCTCCACTTATTAATTCCAGCCCTTCAAGTCCCTCTGAACCATCCCCCAGTCCACCATCTGTTGTGTCTTCCTCCATACCTCAATCCATTACTGGTGCAGTTTCAGCCACATCTCCCATCCCTGTGGCTCCTGATCATAGTCCAGATATTGTACACGTGGTTTCCTCTATCCCGCAGTTCAACTTACATCCGATGCAAACTCGAAGTAAGAGTGGTATTATAAAGAAGAAGGTGTTCCTTTCCACTCTTGAGACCTCTAATGATATTGATCTGTCCCTAAGTGAACCAGCCTCATATAAATCTGCTCTTAAGAGTTCCGTGTGGTCTGAAGCAATGAAGGATGAGATCAGTGCTCTACATAAGCAAGGGACATGGAGTTTAGTCTCTTTACCAGCCAATAAAAACTTAGTGGGCTGTAAATGGATCTTCAAAATCAAAAGGCATTCAGATGGGTCCATAGCAAGGCACAAAGCTCGCTTAGTTGCCAAAGGCTTTAGTCAAGAACCGGGTCTTGATTACAGTGAAACGTTTAGCCCAGTTGTCAAACCCACCACAGTGAGGATTGTTTTAGCTCTTGCTGCACATTTCAATTGGTCACTCCATCAACTCGATGTCAAGAATGCCTTTCTTCATGGCATTCTGCAAGAAGAAGTATACATGGCCCAGCCACCTGGATTTGAGGATCCTCAGAATCTGTCTTTGGTCTGCAAGTTACATAAATCTCTTTATGGCTTGAAGCAGGCACCCAGGGCATGGAATGAAAGGTTCACTTCTTTCTTGCCTCGGTTGGGATTTCATAACACTTACTCTGATTCCTCCTTATTTGTGAAGACTGTTGGTGCCCATACTGTGATATTGTTGCTCTATGTTGATGACATTATCCTCACAGGCAGTGATCTTCCTGAGCTCCAACAAGTGATTCAGGATTTAACTTCTGAATTTGATATCAAGGACTTAGGTCCCCTTCACTTCTTTCTGGGCATTCAGATTTCTAAAACCCCAAACGGTCTGTTTCTGTCACAACAGAAATATGTGCAGGATTTGCTTGCTAAAACAGAAATGCTTGAGTCCAAGCCGTGTGATACACCCTGTCTTCCATACACCAGATTACTCACGGATGATGGGGTACCATATGCTAATCCTACCATGTATAGAAGTGTAGTGGGCGCACTTCAATACCTTACATTTACCAGGCCGGATATTGCCTTTTCTGTGCACCAAGTTTGCCAGTTCATGCAGAATCCGATGGTATCTCATTTCACTGCTGTCAAAAGGATTTTGCGCTATTTGAAAGGCACGATGGAGTTTGGTATCAACTACTCTAAGGGTGATTTGACTTTACATGCGTTTAGCGATGCTGATTGGGCGGGGGATCCCAATGATCGCCGGTCAACAACTGGTCTGGCTGTGTTCTTAGGCAATAACCCTATCTCCTGGTCATCCAAGAAGCAACAAACAGTTTCACGATCCTCCACTGAGGCGGAATATCGTGCTTTATCTACCACGGCAGCTGAACTGGACTGGATTCAACAGATTCTTACTTTCCTGCATATTCCCATCTCTGCGCCACCTGTGCTGTTTTGTGACAACCTTTCTGCTATTGCCTTGTCTTTCAACCCAGTTCAACATCAACGGACCAAACACATTGAAATTGATGTGCACTTTGTGCGGGAGAGGGTTGCCAAACACAAGCTACTGGTGCAGTTTGTATCCTCCAAAGAACAGTTTGCTGATGTTTTAACCAAAGGCCTCAGTGCCCCTTTGTTTCGCTTTCATTGTACCAATCTCATGTTAGTATCCTCCAAACATGCGCTTGTGGGGGGATGATAGGGATTATAATGAAAGGCTAGGATGTTGACACTTGTATGGAGATTAGAGAGTTAGTTAAGTTGTTAGTTTGTTAAGAAGGCTGAGATGTATAAATACAGAAAGATGTACTAGCTTGGAGGTTAAGAAAATATACTGAAGATTACAGTTTCTATACTTCTCTCTCTCTAAATTCTCTCGACTTTCTCTCTCTATATTTCTGTCTATATTAGTTTACAAGGGGAGATTGGGTGGCATATTTATGTGTTGGAATGACAGTGCACTTAATCTGAATGTGATTGCTGCTTCTCCTAGACATATCCATGCTCTAGTTAAAGATGTGCATACAAACATTGAGTACTATGCTACTTTTGTCTATGTCTACCCTAAAAAATCTGTCCAAGATAGTTTGTGGGAGGAGTTTTTATTCTTAAACCCCGAAGATAAACCCTGGATGTTGCCAGGAGAATTCAACAATATTACATGCATTCAAGAAAAATGGGGTGGGAACCAAAGTGTCAATGCTCGTATGACTAAATTTGTGGACTTCATGAACAATGTTGGGCTTATTTCATTACAAGCTTTGGGTGTTCCTTTCACTTGGCCTAACAAATACAAGGATGACTTGCTTATTTTTGAGAGATTAGACAAAGTTGTTGCTAATTCCTATTGGTTTGAATTGCACCCAAGCTACATTCTTCACAACTGTCCTATCCTGGGGTCTAACCACAGTCCTGTGTTTATTGACACTGTTGGTTCTCAAGTTAGTCGAAGGAGAAAGTGCTTCAAATTTGAAGCCATGTGGAATCTTCACCCTGAGTTTAAACAGTTTGTTAAGAGGGCTTGGAAATGCAGTGAGGGACTTCCCCCTCTTGATCATTTTAGGGGTTGCTTAGGTACTTTCACGTTTCTTGTTAAACATTGGAATCGTGCAGTTTTTGGGTCAATTAGGGAGAAAAAAGATAAAATTTTGAAGGAGATGAACTGTGTCCAGAAGGAACTTACGTCTTTCAACTATAATGCTAACTCTTTAAACAATTTCAATGAAAAAGTTCACCTAGAGGCTCAAATTAATGAAAGGCTTGCTCAAGTTCTTAAGGAGGAGGAAGTGATGTGGGCGCAAAAAACAAAATCTAATTCGTTAAAGCATGGTGATAAAAATACAAGATTTTTCCAACTTTGTGCTACAATCAGAAGAAAGCAAAACGAAATTAATAAAATCAGAGATGGCAATGGCATTTGGTGGTATAAAGGTGAGGCCCTGGAGCAAGTTTTTATGCAGGAATTCAAAATGCGATTCACCAATCGATCCAACCCCTCCCAATGTTGAGCACAACAACTTGATCATAATACCATGTTAACGAAGGCTCCTTCAAGTAACGAGATTTGGAATGCTGTTAAAAGCATTGAAGCTCTTAAAGCCCCAGGGCCAAATGTTATCCATGCAAGTTTCTTCCAGGAATGCTGGGAGGAGGTAGGGCCTTCAGTGTGCAATATGGTGAAAGACTTTTTTGTAAATAACACAAGCCTAAAGTTAATCAACCATACCAACATTGAGACCTGGCATTCGTGTCGTATTTCTTGTGTTCGTGTCGTTTTCATGTCATACTCGATAACTTAATGGGTCGTGTCGTGTAATACCCGTTAAAGTAAACGGGTAATGTAAGCCGACCCGAAATCAACCCGTTAATATTATCATGTAATATGATCCGACCCGTTACCCCATTAAGAAAAATATATTTTAAATCAATAAAAATGAAACTGAAAAACATAATTTGACCAAAAAAAAATGTAAAACATAATACTAAATTAGTGTATACATACTAAATTTCGCAGTTGACCTCTTCATGAAAGTTGTAAAGCTTCAAGTGACTACATTTTTCACACTTCTACAATAATTATTATTAAGTTTATTAATTTTCACTCAAATAAAAAACATTGTTCATGAGATTTGGAGGGTTTTAAAAATTTAAACGACCAGGTAACCACGTCTAAGCATTGATGATGCAATTATGAACGTTTATTATGCTTTCACATCTTTCAGCCTTACACATTAATGATTATGAATTTTGTTTATTTTGAACTCCCTTAAAAATACCATTCATGAGAGTTTGTATGGTTTTAAAAAATTCAAACAATCATATACCCATCCTCAAAGTGTAGAGGATGCGACTACGAGCGTTTGCATATTTTTTCATATTTTTCGCACATGTAAATTAAGTATTATAATTTGTTTAATGTGTTTGGTATTTTTAAATTACTTGATATTTTTATTTTTAATCTCAATCTTTGCCTCTAATATACTATAAAAATAAATAAATAAATAAAAATTAAATTTTAAAATTTATATAGAATAATAATTAATAAACAATATATACGTATTCATTATATCTATTGTATTTTATACTAAGTTTGTTTAGTAGTTTAAAAAATTAAAATCATCAAAATAACTATTTTCTTATCGTGTCGAAACAAGTTATCTGTTTGTCACTCTTGTGTAAACCTGTTAAGGACCCATTATTAATGGGTTATTATCGTGTGACTCGATAATGACTCAATTAGTTATCGTGTTGACCCGAAACACGTTATTTTCGTGTCGTTTACGTGTCGGGTCGTGTAAGAAATTGCCAGGTCTACCAACATTGCCCTAATCCCAAAAGTGGAGAATCCATAAACAATCAATAATTATCGCCCAATCAGCCTCTGTAATGTTAGCTACAAGATTATAACGAAAGTAATGATCACTAGGTTAGGGCCCCTTCTGAAGGAGTGTATTTTGCCCAACCAATGTGCCTTTGCTCCAGGTAGGTCAATACAAGATAATATCCTTATTGCTCATGAATTGTGCTCAACTTTTAACAGGAAAAAAGGTAAAATCGGGGAGCTAGCTATCAAGCTAGATTTGGAGAAAGCATATGATCTCTTAAACTGGGACTATATTAAATGTGTTTTGGAAAGGTTTGGGTTTTGTACTAAATGGATTAACCTAGTTATGGAATGTATATCTTCAACTTCTTTTTCCATTAACATTAATGGTGAGTCTCATGGCTATTTCAATGCAAGTAAAGGTATCAGGCAAGGGGACCCATTATCCCCATATATTTTCATCATTTGCATAGAACCCTTGATTAGGAAGTTGAATGAGTTAGCGTATACCTCAAAATCCCATATTGGCCTGCTCACTTCCCTATTTGGCTACAAAGTCTCTAATCTTGTTTTTGCAAATGATTGCCTTATCTTTGCCATAGCATCTCCAAGAGGTGCCAAGAAGGTTTTAGAAGTTCTAAATTGTTTTGCAAGTGCTTCGGGTCAACAAATAAACTTCAGCAAGTCTTCTTTATACTTTTTCTCTAATACAACTAACTAGATACAAAGTGAAATTGTTAACATTCTTCAAAGCCAGCATAAGACCACCATTGGAAAATATCTCGATATACACAACATTGTGTTTTGGAATGACCCTTTAAATGGGAACGAGCTAATCAGGAGATTCAAACAAAAACTTGCTGGTTGGAAGGCCAACACCCTTTCAAAGGCAGGAAGACTCACTCTTGTCCAATCAAACCTTTTAGGTATGCCTAATCATATTATGTCTTGTTTTAAATGCCCTTATAAGTTAATAAGCAAATTAAACAGGGATTGTAGACAGTTTTTTTGGGGCAATAGTCATAAATGTAAGCCTGCGAGTTGGAAGGAAATTTGTAGACCAAAGAGTGCGGGTGGCTTAGGTATCAGGAACCTAGACCGTTTCAATAAGGCTTGTCTTGCTAAATTAGGTTGGAAAGTGCTTTTTGATAAGGATAATGGTGGGCTAATATAGCCAAAAGAAAATACCTTAGATATGATGGGTTTCTAGAGACCAAAACTAAGCAAAACCACTCGTTTGCCATGAAAGAAATCCAAGGGTCCAGAGACATTATCAGTAAGGGTATGAGGCGGGTGGTGGGTGATGGCAAGGACATCATGTTCTGGACTCACAACTGGGTTTTTCCTCACCCTCTCTTTCATCTCATCCTAGAAAATCAAAGACATCAAATTCAATAGGGGGATCAAGGTTGCTGATTTTATTGTTGACGGGCACTGGGATAACAATAGGTTAAATCAAGTAATAGACACCTATACAGCAAATAAAATATGTAATATTCCTATTCCTATTCATTCTTCCAAGGATGAAGTTGTCTAATAATAGTAAGTTCTTGATAAAATCTGCAACTTGGCTTCAAATGTAGGATCTTGGCCATTCCTCGTTTCAAAACCTTATAAATAGAGTGTGGAAGCAAGTCTTGCCTCCCAAACTAAAGTTATTTGCATGGAGTCTCATCAAAGGTAAACTTCAAACTAGAAGGAAGCTAAGCAAGTTCATTCCTAATATAAATACTCAGTGTCCCATGTGCAACAGCCAAGAGAAAGATATTGATCATCTGTTCCTCCACTGCCAGTATGCTAAGCAGGTTTAGAGTTGTGCCACTGATACGTCTTTATCAAATTTTGATATCAACCTCAAGATAAGTGATTGGCTTGTGAACCTCTCTCACAAAAATTCGAATGTTGTAAGCAATTTAAGCAAAGCTATTTCTATTTGCTGGCAGATTTGGAATGGTAGAAATGGATGCATTTGCAGGAATGAAAAGCATGTCCATACCAAAGCTTTTATCCGAGCTATGGCTATGGTTAATGAGTATTTCAAGGATAATGTGAAGAGCCGGGAAAATATACAGGTAACAAGTGATGATAATGTGATCAAATGGAACCATCCATCGTACCCATATGTTAAAAATAAATTTTGATGGTTCAGTGTCAAACCCCTTGGCGGCGGGAGGTTTCATTATCAGGAACTGGAGCAGTAAACCTATTCTCACTGGTGCTATGAGGTTGGGGTCTTCTGCCATCAATGTTGCTGAGCCCATGGCTCTGCGTCAGACACTAATCTGGGCTAGGAGGAGAAACCTGACGCATGTGTGTGTGGAGGGTGACTCAAAACTTATCATTGATGCTGTTCGTGGTGCTTGCGATACGCTGTGAAATTTGAGGTCTATCATTGAAGATATCAGGTGGTGTGCCTCTTTCTTCCAGGATATCAAGTGGGGGCATGTTTTTAGGGGGGCGAATTTTGTTGCAGACACTATGGCGTCTATTGGGCTGAAAACGGATAATCTTTGTATATAGGATGCTTGTCTTCCTGTCGAAGCAAACATAGCCCTGTTATTTGATTGTAATGGCTCCAGCTGTGTGAGGGGCTTCCCTTTTTAATGAAGTTTTATTTTTCCATCAAAAAAAAAAATATGAGTTAAGGTTTGAACAGGGTCTAACAGAAACATTACCGAACCATCTGTTTGGTTTTACCTTTACCAATGGTGGGGAAAGGGGAAAGTGTTGTGTCATTATATTCTGAACTTTCTATTTGGTTGGTAAGAAAAATAAACCAGAGCTGTATAATTTTAATTGGGAAGCAGGTTATAGTGTTTCGCTAGATTTCTAAGTTTTTTGTAATGCAGACAAGGAAGGTTTTATAGTTTTAATTTTTACACTTGTTTCTTCCTTGAATTTGTCTTGTACTGTATGTGAATTCTATCTTCTATGATGCCTTTCCTGAAATATTTTTCTTTATTTACCTCTTCTGTGTGTGTTGATTTGTGATTTTATATTTCGCAGAGGCGTGTGAGAATATCGTTCAAGCAGATGCTGGATGGACATTTACCATGTTTTATTTTTCTTCTGGGAGTGTCGCGGCTAAATGCAACACTCTCCTTTCATCATACTGCATGGCTGCTTCTGCTGCGACTCTAGTTTTATAGACAAGTAATTTACCCAGATTCAAAAACATTGTGTTTCATTCAAGATCGTGCACAGTTTCGTTGTTTTGCTAGAAGCGGATTCTTGAATTTGTTGAGGCACATTATTAGTGAAATATAAATTGAGAATGTCTTGTGTTACAAGTTACAAACTATTTGTTTTCATACATTTTGCTAATGCATTTCCTTAGTTGACACGACAAACTTTTTTTCCGGGAGATTATTGTGCATGTATAGTGAACAAGAACTCTCAAGTTTGCTAATAAAGACGAAACAAATCGTAGGAAAAACCGAAGAACAAGAATCTACACATATCAACAACTAATTTTTGCAACTTGTGAACTGGGAACATGCATTAGTAAGAAACAATGTAAAAAGAAAACAAATTATAGGACACATTCAATGTTTTCGCACTTCTGGATTTTAGTCTGCGCCTTATATTACATGTCTAAGAATCATACAAGCTAGGGAAGACACCGTTCTCTACATTTACGCGTTCAATCCACCGTAGTGACAACAAGAATAACAAAAAATTTGTAAGTCAACATAAATCCTCATCAATATAATAATTCGGTCAGTTTTGGTTTGAAAAAGGAAGTTGATCACTAGGAGCTTCCAAACCCAAGAAACCGGTCTACTAGTTCTGCTACAGAGTTTGCCAAGCTGTTTGCTGCATTCTGTGTGGATGCCTCTGCATATACGCGTATAACATCTTCTGTTCCTGATGGTCATATAAAACATCGGCCTCTAGGGTATTTAACTGCAATCAACAGGGAAAATCCTCAAAAATTTGTTTGTAAATTGTATATACCAGTAAAATTAGGAAAAATGGCAAATTTTCTTGTGCAACAAACAAATACTGCTAATCAACTTAACAGTGCTGACCAATAATCAACACGGATATCGTGCAAAGCAAAGGATTGAACTGTATGCAAAATAAAAGGAGAAATATACTTACCAGCATCAATGGCTTCTTGAATGCCAGGGGTTGTCACAGCCACAGTTTCTGCATTTTCTGTAACAACAGCAGTTCTGTCCATAACCTTGACCTAATAATTGTGAAGCAGAAGAATTAGTTTCTGGGCACGTTGCGTCCAACAAGAATATGGAGGAAACTCAATTAATTTTTAAAACAGATAACATGAAAGCCCAAAAAGAAAACAACCATAAAGACAATAAATTGTCCATAAGATAGACAGATGACCAAGGAAACTTGCCTTAAGCTGCCTACTGGGTAGATCCTGATAAAACTCATTCCACCTCTGTATCGACCATCCCATATATTTTAGAATGGCCTCAACCAAAAGTACCTCGCTCAATGCATCCCCAACAGCCTGGTTAATTAATTCACTAACAGCCAAGATTCTCAAAGCTGCCTTATGCTGTTCTAAACCTGAAAAGAAACGATCATGTTCTTCATTTAGATAGGTAATGGACAACCATGTCAGCACTAATGTAGTGGATAAAGATTGCTTTAACCTTTAGCTACATCAGAAAGCTCGGTAGTCCTGGTCTCTAACCAGCGTAAGTAATGTTCTGAGAACAAGATGGTGCCATGACCATTTGCTTCAAAGTAAATCCCGATATCATACTCAGCAACTTTCTCATGAAGGTATTTCACTCCTGTAGGAGTACAAGTGACTTTTAGGCCTAACTGTTTGAGATAATCCATGGATGCTCCATTTGCATAAGTTGTTTGTACAATACCAAGGCGACATTGATAATCATTATTTCCATTAACATCTATTTCCTTACTCAAGATACTTAGTTGCTCCTTGAGGAATACAGCAAACAAAGATAAAATCTTGTCCCCATTGTCGAGTTCAATCTTATTACTACTTCCAGATGGCACAATAAAATATACAAGCCGATCAGCATCACCATCCAAACTAGCACACCTGAAAAGCTAGAACCATCAATACAGTTAGTCCTTGCCTCTTACATCTAATGTAACACTTTAGATCAGTAGTCAAGCATTACTAATTGACCAAATAGAAAATTTAAGTAGTTTGAAACCCCGAAACGATGGTTGGATATTGCACACTGGCATCCTTTGGTACCAAACTACTTTTGGGGTAAAAAATATTTAAAAGAAAACCAAACTTGTATCGTAGCCAACAAACGTTTGCATCAATGAAAATATGCATCCATTGTAAGCAATCCAACAAGTTGTTAAATCAGATCGAAATTCAAGTTTTCCAATAGTAGTATGCTAGTACGACAAACTTTACTAAGTCTTCCAACGTGTTGCAACAAAGCATACGATAATAATAACAAATCAACAAGCCACCAAAATTCAGGGTTTCTCCCATCTATCCCATAATCTCATTAACGTAGTATGTGTACTTGCATCCATATGTACACAACAGAATTTGTCAGGATAATGCAATCATCAGTCATTCTCCAGCAATATCTCTATGATGCAAGCATTTCAAGCAAGTTACTTAAGTAACTGATAATCAAAATTCATTTCACAATCCACGGATAACTGACCTTATCCCAACATCCTGTGAACCAAAACTACAAGGAACGACCTTCTCTTTCTGCACATAATCAGCACCAACTCCTTCATTCGGTACACCAGCTCCTTCTTTTCCAGAGTTCCGAATCTCAATAACTAAACCAGTCAACATCGTCTTCAAAAGTTCAAGTTTTTCTCCACCAACACCATTTGCCTCATCCACAGCCAACTTGTCATCCACATCACTGGGATGAGTTCCACTAGGAATCAAATCTACCAAGCACCTAATCTGTCACAACCTGGTCCGAGCCCCCACCACATCTCAAACTCGACTCCACCGTAGCACGTTATTGTCCGCTTTGCGCCCCGACCACACCCTCATGGTTTTGTTTATGGGAACTCACACGAGAACTTCCCAATGGGTCACTCATCCTGAGATTGCTCTTGCGCGAACTCGCTTAACTTCAGAGTTTCTACAGAACCCGAAGCCAGTGAGCTCCCAAAAGGCCTCGTGCTAGGTAGAGATGGGAATATACATATAAGGCTTACAGGATCCACTCCCCTTGGCGATGTGGGATGTAACAATCCACCCCCCTTAGGGGCCCGACGTCCTCGTCGGCACACCTTCGGCCAGGGATTGGCTCTGATACCAAATTATCACATCCTGGCCCGGGCCCCCACCACATCTCAGGCTCGACTCTACCATAGCACGATATTGTCCGCTTTGGGCCCCGACTACGCCCTCACGGTTTTGTTTCTGGGAACTCACACGAGAACTTCCCAGTGGGTCACCCATCCTGGGACTGCTCTTGTACGAACTCGCTTAACTTTAGAGTTCCTATGGAACCAGAAGCCAATGAGCTCCCAAAAGGCCTCGTGCTAGGTAGAGATGAGAATATACATATAAGACTTACAAGATCCACTCCCCTTGGCGATGTGGGACCTAACATAACATGCCACACAAAACACTTAATGAAGGCATTCAAACAACAATGAATTTTTTTAAAGATCAAACTAACTCATTACACAAAACTCTAGCTCCAACTAACCTATACGAGCTTGAAAGCTGTGTGAAGTAATCGTTGCCTGATACTTTCAAACCCTTATTTCCAGCACGAACCATCCAGTCTAGTTTTGGAGTAGTTAAAATTCCCAATCATGGGCAACCGCTCCAATAATTGAACCGATTCCCTTTAAAGGAACAAATGCTAGGAAATGAGGAGCGTAAAACAACTTAGAAACTGCATGGTAAGCAATGGTAAAAGAGAAGATACATGTTTAGCAGCCTCAACCAGAGATTCTCCACTGGGTCTTGTATCTCTTGCCAACAATATCTCCATGGATTTTGCTCCATCGAGTGTGATTTTTTCATTTTCAACAAACTCAGCTATCAACTGTTCAAGAATTCAATCAGCCTTGTACACAAATTCACAAGAAGAAAAGAAAGGAGTGAGCACGCACACACACAGAAAGGCTATATAGAAAAAGAAAAACAAACATGAACAAGCTGTTGGGGATCAGGAGCATTGGCGAAGGTATCTGCGAATGGCTCCCAGTCTTGAGAAAGCATTCCACCACTTAGGTCAGCAACTTTGACTCCATTATCAGAGACTTTGTTGTGAGATGCTGTGATCATCAGGCCGATCACTGATTGGGTCTTGAGGGCCCTTAGAGCAGCCAAAATTCCCACCCTGTAAACTGTGGATTGGAGCATTGAGGCGTCAGCTCTGCCAGCCATTCCATACGATAGTTTCACACCTGGTGTCAACATCTCAAAATTAACAAACCAGAAACCGAATTCCGTTGAGAGGAAAGGAAAAATGTGAGAGAGAGAAATGTGGACCTTGTGGAGGCGGGAATCGAGATGAGGAGCTGAGGAGGAGTGAACGTTGGCCTTCATTCATGGTTTGTTAATCCTGATTGAAACTAACATCAAATTTACCCAAAAATAATAACTATCTAGATAGAACAAAACCCAATTCATTAGTTTTCACAAATTACTGAATCCATATTAGTTTACAACAATGATTCCATGCAATTCTAATATGTAGAGAAATGCACAAAATCGAATTACAATCAAATGCTTACCTGCACCTGCAGAATCAACAAACTTTCTAATTTTGCTTTTATAAAAAAGTAGGTATAAAAAAAAATTAAAAAAAAATTTGAGCTTAAAATGATATTCGATAAATACTTAAAACAGCTTATTTTCACATTTTTTTGTGAAAAAAGCTGAAAACGTAAAGTAGTTTTCAGCTTATTTTCGCTGCACAGCAGCATTTTTTTTCAAAGCATAGAAATATCAAACCAACCCTTAAATGGTCTATGGCATTTCCGTAATTTCGTGCATTTTCAAGCCCAATAATATTCCCTTTGTTCTTACAAAACCTACCCATGTGGATGGATATGCCGCCAACGTTCCCAAGCAAGGCATCAGAAACTCCATTTTACCTCACAATTCACAACAAGACGAGCAGCAGCGTCAAAGTCCAAGGGGGAGCGATGGGTCTGCTCTCGTGGTGGAAAGGGGATGAGTCTAAACCCCAAACCAAGACCAGCCCGGATCCGAAACCGGCCGAGCCTGCTCCCGGCATGAACGGCGCCGTTGAGGTGCCTCGACCCCCCGCCGCCGCCAACATCACTGTCTTCGAGTTCGGATCAGTCGCGGCTTCGGCCGATAAGGTCACTCTCGCCGGGTACTGTCCGGTCTCCGAAGACCTGGAGCCCTGCCGCTGGGAGATCCTCCCCGCTAGTGGCTCAGACGCGCCGCAGTTTCGAGTGGTCTTCTAAGCACTCACCGTTGTGTCTCTGTGCGTGTGAGCAGTTAATCATTGTATGTTCATACTCAGTAGAGTAATTTTCAGCTATGAATGATATGATCAGGATTTCAGTTGAGGTTTTGTTGTAGACAATTTCAAGTTTTTGGCTTTGGATTGTGGTCATGGATGGACAATTTAGTTTAAACAACCCAATTATTTACATTTTGCATTCTGATTTTCAAGTTTTGTTTTTAATTTTTGCTAACTACTCGTTGTAAAATGTTGTTCTTAATGGCTGGGTAGGATTCCCCTTCCATTTAGGTACGTTTGGTATGTAGAATGGGACGGAATAGAGTGGGACAAGGCGTTCCGTCTCACGTTTGGTGCGCCTAAAACAGGTGAAACGAGCTGTTTCACGGGACGAGTTTTGGGTGAATTTTCGTTCCACCTCACCCCCTGGAACGACTCGTTCTACATCTGTGGAACACAAAATTATAACCTCTCTGTCTCCTTCTTCTTCCTCCTTGTTTCCGTCCAAGGGCATCTTTGCTCCCGCTCCGTTCCGTCCTGTCCCGTCCCATTTCGTTCCGTCTCGTCCCGTCTGCATACTAAACGATACCTTAGGGCATGTTTGGTAGGCCGGTTGGGACACGTTGTAATGAGTTCAGTTTCTTGTTTGTTGTGTCAAAATATTAATGAATATGGTTGAACAAGATAAGTTATAGATTCATATTAGGAGGTTATATAGCCTATTTTTATACACAAGTTACAAATTTTGTCTATAAATCGCCAACACAAACATATCTCTAAGGTCTAATCTCACCCAACCCACCAATGAGGCCTTTAAGACCTATTTGGTTGGCCACTTGGGATAAGTTGTGAGTAATTAAAATGGAATTAAATGTAATATGTTGTTTGTTGTATCAAAATATGAGAGGACATGACTGGATAAGATGAGTTATAAATCAACAAAATAGTGAGTTATCTAACTTCTGCATATATACAGATTACAAATCCTGTCTTACAAGACGTAATTAATCTTTGACAATCTAATCTCAAAGCCCATCTCTTCCAACCCACCAAATGAGCCCTTATAGCCGGTAGAAATTCACTTTTGTAGTCTTCTAAAATATTGGGTTACATTAGGTTCTGCATTTAGACACTCCTCTTCAAAATTGCTTTGTATATAAGAAAATAAGAGTGTGTTTGGTATCGTCTTGCAAAACTATTGTTCATTTTATTGATACAAAACAATTCTAAAATGCTTTTGGTATGTTGTTTTAAGGGAAAACGAATGGAAACATCCAAAAAAGTTTCCTTTTAATCGTCAGGACAAAAGTTTTCAAAAATGCCTATGCTACCCTTCAAATATCTATGCAAAAATAGCCCAGTATTCAGCAAAGTTCATGTGGTCTTCATTAAAGAATACGTCCAAAAGAAGAGAAAGAATGATTGTCACTTTCATATAACATTTAAATGCAAAAGAGAAGGTGGCAAACATTGCAGTAGCCAAGCCAACATGGATTCACATGACCTTCATTAAAGCAAAGACAAGTCAGACAGCTTTCAGAAACAATGGTGACAGCTTTCAGCAACAATGTACTGTCACTATTCAAAAAATTATAAATAGTTGAAAAGTTATTTTGTCTTTTAGGAATTAGGTTTTTTATGTAAGGGAGTTTTTCCTCCCATGCAGAACACACGGAAAACACCTCAACATCTAAACCCCTCAAAACCAGACACACCATACTTCAATCCTCATACACTAAAGCATCTGAAACCTTCCTAGCATCCTTTGTAAACGCTTATTTGTAAACATTCTATATATCAATAAAAGTTCAAGTATACATATTCAAGTAATCTCCAAGTCTTAAGTAAGTATTCTTTTCTTTCTTTAGTGTGTTTGTTTAAATAGACTTCTAGTCTAAAATAGGGAAACACTATTGTAGTTATATTATTACCTGTTAAACTGACGATCATGCTTTGTTCGAGCACTCTGTTATAGTTGAATGCTTGCCATACAAAAACTGGACATTAACCAAGGTGCCTCTGAGTTCTTCGTACCTCTGAGTTCAGCCGTTAAGGCCTTATACCTGCATTGTGAGTGGTCGTCATGCTAAAACATGTCGAGTTCCATGTGCAAGGTTTTATGTCTAGTTGTTATAATGGCCATCCAACTATTTAACCGAGTCTGCTGTACGAATTTGGTATCAGAACCAAGTTTAACATTTTAATAGTATAATTATAATAGTAAAGTACCTCGAGGACGGAAGTCATTAATACAACTGATATCACATTTGTTTAATTTTGTATGAACAACATATATCATTGCCTTTGTAGACCTTGTTAACCATAACTACTAGACATTTATTGGGTGTCTAGGAACCCAACTATAAATAACATAAAGTGAAGATAACCCAACTATAACTAGCATACAGAGAAGATTAGCATATATATCTAAAAGAATTAGCAGGACCTTGAAGAAGCAGAAGTTTTATCTTGGTTATCTTGAACATTCTTCATTTATTAATAAATATAATAACGCAGAAGTACAACATAAAATTTTAGAAGCAAAAAGAGCAACAAATCAAACTTTAGAGACCCTAAGAGAAGAAATAGAGTTTCTAAGATCAGTTAGCTGTAACTTTAGAAAAAGGTAGACTGTAGTTTATGATAGATTATTTTAATTTAGAAATTAGTGAACCACAAAAAAGAAAAATAACCTTAGACCAAAACAGTTTAGTTTGTTATTTTCCATTGACAAAGCATAATCATATTTTGCATAGTGAAGAAAATCCACAAGCCAACAGTATTGTAGACCTTATTATTAGTCAAGCAGAAAATATAAAATTAGAAAATAATAAGCATAATCATTTGTTAAACTGGTTGTTAGAGCATTTTCAGAAAAATTCCATAAAAACAATTAGACAAAATTTAAATTATATTACATCTCAGTTAGAAGATAATAATAAAAATATTCAAACGTTTCCTAGCAAAAGAGAGATAAAAGAGCTTATTAACCTCATAGATAGTAAGCCTAAGTAAGTAGAACTCAGATCATTAGAAATAGTTGAATAGTTAAAATTAGAAGTTCAAAAAATTCAACTAGTGCAAAAAGAGTTGAGTGAACAAGTAGATAAGTTGCATAATAAAATAGATAGATTATTATTTTAATAATCAATTCTAGAACTAGCAGAAAATACATCCAAGCTTTGAAAAAAAATTAGTAAGTTAGACAAAGAATCAGTAGGTTTAACAGATTTTTCAACACAAATAACTAGTAGTAATATTCCCGTTAGGCAAAATAATTTAATTATTCATTTAGTTTTAAGTTTGGCTGACAAATTAGACCAAGTTGAAGAAAAAATAGCAAAAATAAACCAAGTTTTACATAACGCATCTTCATCACTTCCACTGTCACATCCCGGCCGGGGACGGATCACTTCCCGGGCCCACTTCACCACCGTAGCACGATATTGTCCGCTTTGCGCTTACAATTCCCTCACGGTTTTGTTTTTAGGAACTCACGAGCAACTTCTCAGTGGGTCACCCATCATGGGATTCTCAAGCGCGACACTCGCTTAACTTCGGAGTTCCAACGGAACCCGAAACCAGTGAGCTCCCAAAAGGCCTCGTGCTAGGTAGGGATAGGAATATACATTTAAGGATCACTCCCCTGGGCGATGTGGGATGTCTCAATCCACCCCCCTTAAGAGCCCGACGTCCTCGTCGGCACACATGTGACCAGGGTTAGGCTCTGATACCAAATTGTCACATCCCGGCCCAGGGCGGATCACTTCTCGGGCCCGCTTCACCACTGTAGCACGATATTGTCCGCTTTGGGCTTACCATTCCCTCACGGTTTTGTTTTTGGGAACTCACGAGCAACTTCCCAGTAGGTCACCCATCATGGGATTGCTCTCGCGCGACACTCGCTTAACTTCAGAGTTCCAACGGAACCCGAAGCCAGTGAGCTCCCAAAAGGCCTCATGCTAGGTAGGGATAGGAATATACATTTAAGGATCACTCTCCTGGGCGATGTGGGATGTCACAATCCACCCCCCTTAGGGGCTCGACGTCCTCGTCGGCACACATGTGACCAGGGTTAGGCTCTGATACCAATTGTCACATCCCGGCCCTGACAGGACCACTTCCCAGGCCCGCTTCACCACCGTAGCACGATATTGTCCGCCTTGGGCTTACCATTCCCTCACGTTTTTGTTTTTGGGAACTCACGAGTAACTTCCTAGTGGGTCACCCATCATGGGATTGCTCTCCCGCAACACTCGCTTAACTTCGGAATTCCAACGGAACCCAAAGCCAGTGAGCTCCCAAAAAGCCTCGTGCTAGGTAGGGATAGGAATATACATTTAAGGATCACTCCCCTGGGCGATGTGGGATGTCACATCCACCATCTTTGCTAGAAAAATTAGAAAATTTAATTTTAAGTGCAAATAATAACATTAGAAGACCTAAGATAAATCCTTTTGATAATAGAAAATGGAACTCTTTAAAAGAAAAGGAAAAGAAGTAGTTAGAGCAGAAGATATTAACCCAAATGAAGAGGAAGCACAAGAAAATATAGAAGAGGATGAGAGTGAGATCGAAAATGAGAGTATTCATATGGCTTTTAATAATATAGATATTAATTTAGTTGACCAAAATTTTGATCATATTGTTGTTTATAGATATATTGATTATTTAGATGAAGAACAATACTTAAAAAAATATAAGACACATGATTTAGGACTACATAGAATTTCAGATGAAGAGGTGAAAAAAATAATCATAAAGATAGGAGTAGAACATATTTTAGGATCAAAAGAGTATAATAATTTATTAGAGTTCAAAGCAGAATGTAATCCAGCAGAAGAAAGGAATACATCAGGAGTAGAAAATCAAAATCCAAGATATGTAGGTAGAACTGATCAACAATTTTTGAGACAAACAAATGAACAATATCATGAACAACCAAGAGTAGATTTTGTTGAAGAAACTATGATAAAGCCACCTAGAAAAAAATAGGATTCCATATATTAGGGAAGTGTTATTGGCACTCCAAAAATCTCATTCTACACTCCTCACAAGTGTATTTTTCTTTCCAAATATAGAAAGTTTGGAGTGTAGAATGAGATT